CGGATCACGAGGTCAGAAGGATCGAGACCAATCCTGGCAACATGGTGAAAACCCCGTCTCTACTAAAAAAATACAAAAAACTTAGCCGGGCGACGGGACGGGTGCGGGCTTTGTTGCCTGTAGTCCCAGCCTACTCGGGGAGGCTTGGAGGCAGGAGAATGGCGGTGAACCCAGGAGGCTGGAGCTTGCGAGTTGAGCTGAGATCCAGCCACCGCACTCAGCCTGGGTGACAGAGCGAGACTCCGTCTCAAAAAAAAAAAAAAAAAGAAGGCATCACATTGACTGTTGTAAGATGGAAAAATTTGCTTTAAAAAATTAACTACAGGATGGGTCTGATTCTTTAAAATTCAACCTGGGGCATTGGCCTCTTTGCTTCGAGAACTTGATGGAAGCTTCTGTAGCTCAGAGTGAACACTGACATGCGCCCCGTCTCCCTCCATCTGCACAGGCCCCAGGGAGTGGCTCAAACCTGTAGACCAGAGAAAAAGCATCTAGAACTCCTGGGGGCCTTATCCAGGGCCCACATCCTCTCAGTGGGGGCAGCTCCCATGAGGGGTGCAGGCCCCTCGCCCCACACAGAGTCTGGGCAGGAACCGGAACCCATCCTGGTTGCCCCGGAGTGGAGGCCGGGGAGGGGCGGGTGGTGGGTCTGCACCCAATGTGGCAGTTTGCTGATGTGTGTTTTCATGCCATGTCGATTTATAGTCTGTTACCAGGTAACTTTTTTTTTTTTTTTTTTTTTTTTATGAGACGTAGTCTCTGTTGCCTGGGCTGGAGTGCAGAGGCACAATCTCAGCTCACTGCAACCTCCACCTCCCAGATTCAAGTGATTCTCGTGCCTCAGCCTCCCAGGTAGCTGGGATTGCAGGCGTGCGCGACCACAGGCGGCTAGTTTTTGTATTTTTAGTAGAGATGGGGTTTTGAGATGTTGGGCAGGCTGGCCTCAGGTGATCTGCCCACCTCGGCCTCTCAACATGATGGGATTACAGCCCTGAGCCACTGCGCCTAATTTTGCTTTTTTATTATAATCAGCTGGAATTCTGCCCTCTAGGGAATAACCCGGTCACCATTTGGACGCGTTTATTTCTGCTCTGTGTGTTATGTGTGTACCTGTCACGCCCCCGTGCAGGGAGCTGCCTCTGTCTGACGAGGCCGCCTCAGCTTCAGCACCTGACGCTTCCTCTAGACCTCCGCTGTGTTCCGAGGTGCTTGAGGTAGCAGGGAGGTGAGGCCTGGTTCCGTGTGCTGACCTCACCAGAGCTGTGACTTCTCCCAAGCACCATCCCCCTCTTTCTCTCTGCAGAGCCCCTCTGCAGCCACAGGCTGGTTCCAGTTTGCTTTTTCATCTTTGCCATTAAAAACAGAACTGGGGCCAGGCACAGTGGCTCACACCTATAATCCCAGCACTTTGGGAGGCTGAGGTGGGCAGATCCCCTGAGGTCAGGAGTTCGAGACCAGCCTGACCAACATGGTGAACCCCTATCTCTACTAAAAATGTAAAACATTAGCCAGGTGTGGTGGCGGGCACCTGTAATCCCAGCTACTAGGGAGGCTGAGGCAAGAGAGTTGCTTGAACCCTGGAGGTGGAGGTTGTAGTGAGCCAAGATTTCGCATTGCACTCCAGCCTGGGCAACAAGAGCAAAACTCTGTCCCAAAAACAACAAAAAAAACCCCACAGAACTTGATCATGTATTTAAATGTTTTTCTGCATGTCTGATATTTTTTGTTTACATCCCGAACACAAAACAACTGCTTTGGAGAGTCTTACCCTGGTTTGTTGTTTGACTTTTTTTTTGATAATGGAGTTGTTCTCTCCCATGGGCTGGAGTGCAGTGGCACCATCTTGGCTCACTGCAACCTCTGCCTCCCAGGTTCAAGCAGTTCTCCTGCCTCAGCCTCCCGAGTAACTGGGATTAGAGGTGCCTGCCACCATGCCCAGCTAATTTTTGTGTTTTTAGTGGATATGGGGTTTTACCATGTTGGCCAGGCAGGTCTCGAACTCCTGACCTCAGGGGATCCACCTGCCTGGGCCTCCCAAAGTGCTGGGATTACAGGCGTGAGCCACCACGCCCCACCTGTTGTTTGCCTTTTGATCCAGTTCCTCAAACCAAGAGAGTGTGGAGAAGGCTGTATTGGAGCAGAGGCCACCAGAGTGTGGGCGCACTGGGGAGGGCATTCTCTCAGTACCCCCAGGTGGGCTCACAGGGGGCTGCACCCTCTGGGGTGAGGGGCCTGGGGTCCACCTTGGGGACCCTGCTCCAAGGCCCTGCTGCACCCACTGACCCTGCGGACATGGGTGTGTCCTCCCTTCCAGGACTGGAAGGATCACCAGCACATATGCGGCCAGTCAGCAGCTGTCACGGTCCAGGCAGACGAAGTCCACGTGGCTGAAAGCGTGATGGAGAAGGTGACCGTGTGAGGCTCCATCGGCCGCCCTGGGAGCTGGGGCCCCTCGCACTCCTGTGAGGCTTTTGCAGGTCGAAGGCCCCCCTGAGGACTCTGGGGGGATGTTGAGAAGAGGGGTGTGGGAAGGTAAAGAAACTTGCTGGACAAGTTATTAACACACTTTAAGCGAATGGTGCCCTGGGGAGCAGACTCCCCCCGCCCGGGCCCCCCGCCCGCTCGCGGAGAGATTTTTTATCCCTAGGATCATGAGCGTCCGGTCTTGCCCACAGGGCCTGTGCTGCGACGCATGTACATACGTGTTGTGTCTGTCAATAAAGTGTAAATAAGGTCTCCCTGCCCCATGCGGGTGGCCGGTTTCAGTGCCAGCCCTCAGGGGGGTTTCCTCCCCTTCCTTCTCCTTGTGCAGGTGGGAATCCCAAGCCCACCGCATCTCCAGTCCACAGGGCAGCGCGGCCAGGCCGGAGCCTCCGGTGCACGGGGCAGCGCGGCCAGACTGAAGCCCTGGCATCTGGTGGCACCTGTAGTCCAGGAGGTCTTCATTCCTTCTGTTCCACGAGAACCTCGTGGCTGCTGGCAAGTGCAGCAGGCCTGCGGCCCTTCCCGCCAGGTTTCTGTGCACGCGGTACCCTCCTGTGCCCAGGCTTCCTGAGCAAGCCTGATGGCCCAGTGCAGCCTGTTCAGTCCATGTGGACGGCTCGGTGACCTTGGTCCAGGGATCCACATGCAGAGCCTCATGGCCTCCTGGTCTCCCGCTTGTTTCTCATGGCCCTGGTGCCAGGTGGAGGAAAGAGAAAGGACTGAAGCCTGCACGGGACACAAGGCGGCATGTCCAGTGTGTTTGGGCTGGGCCTGGACATGGGACCCACCTGCCCTCCTGACTGAGAGCTCTGCTGGAGCAGCGTCACTCTTGTTCTGGAAGCTTCTGCGCTCATGGCCTGTGTTCTCTGCACACTGAAGGCTCCACGGCTGTGGCTGCACTGGGGCAAGAAAGTACAGACTCAGCAAAAGCTCAGCAGGCACCTGGGGTGGACTGGCAGCGCTAGGAGGAACCTGCACCAACGATTCTGATGTTTGCCTCTAAGCGCTTTCTGCACCAGCTGGAGCTCTACGAGAGGCGGCCAGAGTTCCCCTGGAAGGGGCTGTGCATGGGGGCAGGGCTCACTGGCTCTGTGGGCCCTGCAGAGAACCCCCCACCATATTTGAGACTCTGGGTTTCTCAGGACCACCTGGTTTATTCTGGTTTTCTATTTTTTTTTTCTTTGAGACAGGTTCACCCTGTCACCCAGGCTGGAGTGCAGTGGCACAATCTTGGCTCACTACAACCTCTGCCTCCCAGGTTCAAGTGATTCTCCTGCCTCAGCCTCCTGAGTAGCTGGGATTATAGGTGCGTACCACCACACCCAGCTAGTTTAGGAATTTTTGGTAGAGACAGGGTTTCTTCGTGTTGGCCAGGCTGGTCTCGAACTCCTGTCCTCAGGTGATCCACCCACCTCGACCTCCCAAAGTGCTGGGATTACAGGCGTGAGCCACTGCCCTGGCCTATTTACTTAGTAAAGTCTCCACCCAGCCGGGCCAAGCCCCTCTGATGTTTCATCGTCCTGCTTAGGCGCACTCGGTGCTGCCCCGTTGGTGCTGCCAGTGAGCAGTGGAGGCTGGAAAAGGTGTCTGGCCTGCTGCAGCACGCACTCCAGATGCTGCCCTCACCCCGCCTGTCCCTCACCCCACCTGTTCCTTCCTCTGACCCTCACCCTGCCTGTCCCTCCTGCCTCCCCCACCGAGATGCTGTCCCTCCTGTCCCTCACCTCACCTGTCCCTTCCTCTGACCCTCGTCCCGCCTGTCCCTTCCTCTGAGACTCTACACTGAGTGGCTTTTCGTCCAACCCAGCAGGGTCCGCCATTGTCACAAGGTGGAGGCATCTTAGAGGCTCTGCTTGGCCTCGGCACTGTCCAGGCAGGCGGGCCGTGGGTTGACCTCCATGAGGCAGCAGGGCTGGGCCTGCTCCTTTGGGTCTTAACCAACATAAAGGTGGCAGGGAAGTGAGGACCTGCACCTCATAAGAAGAATCCCCCAAAGCTGAAAACACCAGCATCTCTGTGCAGAGAGCACAGCCGCAGGAAGTGGCCAAACCCCGCCTGGTGGGGAAGGCACCGTGGGAGCCCCTTGGCATTGTGACCCCACCAGCAGTGATGCACCTGGCCTCCTGCAACCAGGCTCTGCAGGAGTGGAGTGGGGGTGTTCCCTGGAATTGTGGGGGCAACTTACTCTTCCCCGATTTTCCGTAAAATGGAAGCTGGAGCACCACACATCTCGTGGGATCCCAGGTGCCCACAGCTCCTCCTTTCCAAGCCTGGGAGGCTGATGGCCAGAGGTCGCCCCGCCCCAGGGCTGTCAGCACCCCCAGGACCCCCAGATGCGTGTGCACCTCCCGTGGCCTCCAGCACTGTCAGTGAGGCATGTGTGGGGCCGTGGGTCCTGGGACAAGGCTGGCGGGAGCCCCTCCTTTACTCCCATGGGTGTCCGACAAGAATCCATTGTGACTCAGTCTGTTCCAGGGGCTGGCTGGGACAGGCTGGTCCTGGGAAGTAGGTAGTCAGGGAAGGTGTCCAGGAGGAGGCAGCCGCTGAAGCCGTGACAGAAGTACGTGGTCAGCAGACGGGACGGGGCAGCTGCACTGACGTAATTGGGCTTGGTCGTCTCTCCACCCAGTATTTCTTTTCTTTTTTGAGACAAGGTCTCACCCTGTCACCCAGGCTGGAGTGCAGTGGTGTGATCTCAGCTCACTGCAGCCTTTAAGGGATCCTCCTGTCTCAGCCTCCCGAGTAGCTGGGATTACAGGTGTGACACCACACCCAGCCTGCACTGAGTATTTTAGCTGAGGTTGTACCCACTGCTGTAGACTGCACAGCCCAGTCTCTCAGTGTTCAGATGGGAGCTTGGCACCATGACTGGCCGCCCTGGCTGTAGACGCCGCATCCCCAGCACAGTAAAGCTCCAGCCAGCAGGACTGGGAGGCGGAGGGCCCCCTATTTCTCCCACAGCCTGGGCCTGGGAGAGAGCTGGATCCAGTCCAGGGTGGGCTGTTACTGCACTGAGGGCCCTGGGAGCCATCCCTCCTCCCCCAGGGTCAGGGGCTGTACTATGGTTGACAAAGCCAGGCAGCCCAGGGCAGACAGGCAGCCTGGGTCGCTCTGCCCACCCTCTGACCCTGCTGCCTCCTCCCTACTCCTACCCCTTGGCCCAGCCACATGGGTGGATGCTGGGCAGAGGCTGGCTGGGTGACTGAGCATGGAGCTCCCTCCAGGGAAGCCTCTTGGTGGGACCCCACCTATCACCACAGGCCCCTTCCTGTGGGGCTTGGGGCATCCTCTGGCCAGGGACTGGCAGGAAGCTGTGCTCTGACCTCAAGGCAGCTTCTAAAATGACATATCAGGCTCCCCCGCCTGGGTCTGCTGGGACAGCAGAGCCAGGAGACCCTGTGCCTCGTCCTCGGAGGCGGGAGTTGGCCTGGGCAGGGCCTGGCGGCTGACCCCCCCCAGCCCCTCTCGCCTCATTCATTTCTTCCCATTGGAACTAGGCTTCCCCAGGAGACACCTTGCTCTGCTCGGTGCCATTTCCTCTCCCCTGCAGAGAGGGTAGGCTGGGCCAGAGCACTGCCGAACTGAGTGGGTCTCCAGGGGCCCCTTCCCCCCCCTCACCCTGAGCAGGGGGCCGGCTTGGTGGGGTCTGCTCTGTGGGCTTCCTTGGCAGGAAGGAAGGGGTTAACTGGCTGGGCGGCCTGGGGCCACTGGGGCAGAAGCCCTTCCTCCTCCCTTCCCCATCAACCCCAGGAGCCTTCACAGCTGAGTTTGGGAAGGAATTTGTTTAATTAACGTACAAAACCGCCCTCCCCATATCCTTGGTCCCGGAGGCCTGGCCACCAGGCCGGTGCCCAGGCCGCGGGGGGTGGGGGTGGGGATCCGGCTCAGCAGCAGGCACGCAGGGCCTTGCGGAAGACATTGCGGAACTCGGCGTTGAAGACAGTGTAGATGACGGGGTTGAGGGCGCTGTTGACGTAGCCCAGCCAGGTGACCGCGCTAACCAGCCGCGGGGGCACGGAGCAGGCAGGACACAGCGCCTGTGTGATGTGCACCACGAAGAAGGGCGTCCAGCACAGCAGGAAGGCCCCTGGGGGCGCCGAGAGCCACGTCAGCGCCCCCTGCCCCTCCGCGCCTCGTACTCCTCCCCTCCTCTCTCCCCAGCCCCCCAGGGCAGGAACGCACCGACTACCACAGGCAGGACCCTCATGGCCTTGCGCTCCCGGCCGGTGATCTTGGCACGCCGCCTCCTGCGGGTCTGCGGTGGGGTCTGGGGTGGGAGCGCAGCGGCTCGGACGGCGTCTGGAGGCGCACAGTTGGAATCGCAGGAGTCCGGGGGGAGGCCGGGCACGGGGGTCGCACAGTTGGGGCCGCGGAGACCCTGGGGAAGGCCGGGCGCTGGGGGCGCACGGTCGGGGCCGCAGGGACCCTGGGGAGGGCCGGGCGCGGGGGGCGCGCAGTCGGGGCCGCATGGGTCCTGGGGGAGGCAGGGCGCCGGGGGCGCGCAGTCAGGGCCGCAGGGGTCCTGGGGAAGGCGGGGCACAAGGGAAGGAGGGCCGGGGCCGCTGGGTCGGCGGGGCGCGCGGCCGTGCAGCTTGGCGCGACGGGCCACCTCCCAGCGCCGCAGGCCGCGGAACGTGGCCCAGTAGAGCAGCAGCATGAGCGGACAGGGTAGGAAGAAGGAGCACACGGACGAGTAGACCACGTAGTCGCGGTCCTCCAGGCGGCACACGGCGGGGTCACGGCCGCGCACGTCGTTGAGGCCGCACAGCACGGGCGCCGCCACCGCTGCGGACAGCAGCCACGTGGCGCCGATGAGCAGCAGCTGCCGGTGGCTCCCGCCCTGGCGGTTGTAGCGCAGCGGCACGGCCACGGCCACGAACCTGCGGGGAGCGCCGAGGGTGCGCGGGACAGCGCGGAGGCCGCGGTGAGGGCGGCGGCGGCGGGAGGGGCGGGAGGGGCGCGGGGGCGCGGGCGGGGAGGGCGGCGCACCTGTCCACGCTGATGGCGCACAGGTTGAAGATAGAGGCGGTGCACAGCATGACGTCCATGGCCATGAGGGCGTCGCACAGGCGGGGGCTCAGCAGCCACGCGCCACCCTGGACCTGCGCGGCGACACCACAGGCCCTGAGGTTTCCCAGCCACCGCGGGCCCTTGTGACCCCCTCTCTTATGGGTAGTTCCAGGGCTGAATATGGAGGAGGGGGCCCGGCTGTGAACCAGAGGCCAGAGGAGCAGGCAGAGAAACACCCCCTGTGCACTCAGGTCTCCCTTTGTTTTGAGGTAGGGTCTCGCTCTGTCACCCAGGCTGGAGTGCGGTGGCTCCATAATGGCTCACCGTAGCCTGGAACTCCTGGGCTCAAGCGATCCTCCCACCTCAGTCTCCAGAGTAGCTGGGACTACAGCCGCGCGCCACCCCCCCCCCCGGCTGATTTATTTATTTTTTATTTTTTTTTTTTTTTCTTTTTGTTTGTTTTTTTGAGACGGAGTTGCACTCTTGTTGCCCAGGCTGGAGTGCAGTGATGCGATCTCAGCTCACTGCAACCTCCGCCTCCCGGGTTTAAGCGATTCTCCTGCCTCAGTTCCCCCGAATAGGACAGCAGCCGCATGCCACCATCCCCGGCTGATATTTTCATTTTTTTTTTTTTTCTTTTTTTTTTTTTTTTTTTTTTTGAGGCGGAGTCTCGCTCTGCCGCCCAGGTTGGAGTGCCGTGCCGGATCTCAGCTCACTGCAAGCTCCGCCTACTGGGTTCACGCCATTCTCCGGCCTCAGCCTCCCGGAGGCTGGGACTACAGGCGCCCGCTCACCTCGCCCGGCTAGTTTTTTTTTTGTATTTTTTAGTAGAGACGGGGTTTCACCGTGTTAGCCAGGATGGTCTCGATCTCCTGACCTCGTGATCCGCCCGTCTCGGCCTCCAAAGTGCTGGGATTCCAGGCTTGAGCCACCGCGCCCGCCTTTTTTTTTTTTTTTTTTCTGAGACGGAGTCTCGCTCAGTGGCGCAGGCTGGAGTGCCGTGGCACGATCTCGGCTCACTGCAAGCTCCGCCTCCCGGGTTCGCCGCCATTTCCTGCCTCAGCCTCCCAAGTAGCTGGGACTACAGGCGCCCGCCGCCACACCGGCTAATTTTTTGGCATTTTTAGTAGAGAACGGGGTTTCGCTGTGTCAGCCAGGTGGTCTCGATCTCCTGACCTCGTGGTCCGCCCTCCTCGGCCTCCCAAAGTGCTGGGATTACAGGCGTGAGCCACCGCGCCCGGCCGATATTTTAATTTTTTGTAGAGACCCGGCCCGGTATGTTTCCCAGGCTGGTCTCAAACTCCTGGGCTCAAGCGATCCTCCTGCCTTGGCCTCCCAAAGTTCTGGGATTACAGGTGTGAGCCACCACTCCTGACCTTGGTCTCCCTTTTGTTCCAAACATGAGAACGGCCTGGGGAATTCCCTGGGGGCGGGGCCTGATGTCATCGGGCTCAAGGAGAGCCCCTCCCCTGCCTGGGGTAGGCAGGGTCCCCGCTGGGCCTAGACATGAAGCTGGCTGCTCTGTCCTTCAGGGCATGAGCCAGCCTGTCTGGTGAAGCTCTCTGTGGGAGACTCGGGCGCATTAATTCATTTGTTTCCTCATCTGTAAGACGAGGATGATGATAGTATCCACATAATTGTCTTGAAGATAAATTATAATTAAAAATATGAAGACCTGCCCAGTGCCCAGCGTAGGAGTCCACGTGGAGTGACTCTCTCCAAGGGCAAAGGAGCAGGCAGCCCCCTTAATCCCTTCCCGCTGATTTGGGAAGATTAGGAGCTTAAACGTCGTCACTGTGACGTCTGCGGCTCGAAAGGAGCACAGGTCATGCGTGTCCCCTGCTGCTGGTCTGCCCCAGCCGCCAGGACTCACCGTGTCCACCAAGGGGAAACCCCGAGTCCCCCCTCCTCCACAGTCCGGGACACCGCGTCCCCAGCTCAGCCTTAAGCTGCTTTTCTCTGGCTGCAGAGGGGCTGGCACCAAGTCCAACCCACTGGAGGGCCAGATCTGGTGTGGAGTGTGGGATCCATCCCCCAATTCCCCCTCGGGCTTCTCCCCAGGGTTCTCAGCAGGGGCCTGGCCCCCACACACCCTCCCCTGGGTTCTGTCCAGCCCAGGTCTCCCCTGTGAGCTGTGAGCCTCCTGGGGGTGAGCCAGCATCCGCACTGGGTGTGCGTGGTGGTCTGTGGCTGTGGCCGTGTGCAGTGCGTGTGTGTGTGTCCCAGGGCAGCCAGGGGGCCGAGCCCGCATCTGCCTGCCTGTCCAGCTGGTTGCCCTGGGGGTGAAATCCAGCTGCCGGGCGGGGGGAGGGGGCTGGCTTGACAAAGTCGCCTATTTCTGGGGTCCCTAGATCGAAGGACGGGCATCTCCTGGATAGCAGACGCCAAGACAGAAGGGGAAGGGAGGAGAGGAACGGGGGTCGGGGGACAGCGCAGCGGGGGGAAGGTCGCGAGGTGGCGGCGGTGGGTGTAGCGCGGAGGGACCAGGCGCAGCGCCCCTGCCGCCGCCCCAGCTGGAGGCTCCGGAGCAGAAAGGGGCCGGGTCGCGCCGGGTCCTCCGCAGGGACAGGGACGGAGAACCGAGGAGCAGATGAAGATGCTCGTGCGGCCGGACGGGGCTCACCTCGGAGTAGACGAAGAGCGGCAGCACCAGGAGGGCGAGCAGGAGGTCGGCGGCCGCCAGGCTCACGATGAAGGAGTTGGTGGGCGTCTGCAAGGCGCGCTCGGTGGCCACGCTCACGCACACGAGCGAGTTCCCCGCGAGCACCGCGCCGATGAGCAGCACGCCCCCAATCAGCGCCGCCGCGCCCGGCCCTGCCAGCCCCGCAGCCGCCCCCGCGCCCGGCCCGCGTCCGGCCAGCAGCCCGTCCGGGTCCGCGGTGCTGCGATTCCCCATGGCGCGCCGGCCCCAGGCGCCCGGGCGGGCGCTGAGCACCGCGGACAGCGCCGGGCCGCAAACCGGGGAGTCCCTCCCCTTGGGCACGCCCCGGCCAGACTCTGGTCCCGCCCCCGCCCCGCCCCGGCTCAGGGGGGCCCCCGCGGCGCTCCACCGTGCGCCCAGTATTTGCTCATCTTGGAATTTTGCGCAGGGAGAGACGGGCAGGCGGACGAATGCGGCGGCCCCAAGAGACGGGAATGAAGCGAGGTGGTGGCCATGGGCAGGCCCAGCATCGCCCGGTGCGGCGCGGGGTCCGCACCCCGAGAAACCAACAAGGATGGAGGGGCAGCCAGACCAAGCCCTGAAGCGCGCGGGCATCGACGCCAGAGCCATCCTGCCCGGCCCCTGCGTGCGTCCCGGCCCTCGAGCCGTCCACCTAGTCCACCTGGTGTCTGGGAAAACGTCCCTCCCAGGCCCGTTCCGCCAGACGCGGGAAGACCGGAGCTTAGGCTCTGCCCGCCTCCCGGGGGACTCGCCTCGACCTCGCGCGCACCCTCCTGCCCGCGACTCCGCGCCCGACCCAACCGCCGACGCCTGGCTCGTACCCCCGCTCCCCAGCAGCCTCTGGTCCTCAGCCCCCGCGACCACCACAGTCAGCCGCGGCCCCACCCATTGCACAGTTGGTCCTCCCATGGCCGCCTCCGATAGTGGGCCGGCACCTCCCCCCGACCCTCCACCCCGGGGCGGACAGCTGAGCGGTCGACCCTGCTCCCTCCTCCAGTCCCTCCGGCCCAAGACCCTGAGCTAGGTAGGCGTCCCTCTGACCCTGGGCAGGGGGTCCGGGGACCCGACAGTAGGTTCAGCCCGCGAGGAGGCAACGAGAAAGACAAGACAGGCCCCGGCAGGTTCCAAACGTGCAGAAGAGAAAGTGCTTGCAAAGTGCAGCAGAGACAATTCTATGGACTCTTCATCAAATCTGGGTGACCCATGACCTGAGGGGTATTTTCTGTAGTCCTGTCACTAAAGGGGCCTAGAAGGCACTAAAAGGGGGCACCACTCTGTGGGACCCTGGGCGATGCACATCTTGCTCTTGTCTTTGTTTCTGAGAGGACTGGCGTGGAGGGGCCGTGCCAGGAATTGAGGCCCCTGACCTCAAACGTATGGAGGACACGGGCTGGACGAGGTGCTGATGGGGTGTGCATTAAAGGGAGAAACGAGGGCTCTGAGAAGGAGCAGGCACCGTGAGCGTCACAAGGCAAGGTCCTGGGGTCTGTAGGGGAAAGGCCTGCACCAGGGTCAGGTGTCCACAGACATCAGGTGCAGCCGCAGCCAGGCTAAGTCCCTCTTGTGCAGACCAGACTCCTGCCCGTGAACCCTTGTGCAAAAGAAGTCACCACAGAAGAGGCTGGGACAGTGCAAGTTTCTTCTCTTCTAGGATGGAACCCGGGAGGGTGGCCCTGGGGTCTCCGGCTGGGTGCCCAACAGTGAGTCCAGCCCAGCCGCTGGTCAGCTTAGAGTTCCTTCAAGTGGCCCCCAAGATGTCTGCGACCACCAAGAGTGAAAACAAAGCCAGGCGGAGAAAGGATGTTTGCAGTACACATCTCTGGTACAGAATGCAGATCCAGAATATATAAAGAGTGCTTTTAAAACAATGAGAAAAGACAGACAATTCCAGTTTCTTTTTTTCTTTTTCTTTTTTTTTTTTTTTTGACATAGAGTTTCTCACTCTTGTTGCCCAGGCTGGAATGCAGTGGCACAATCTTGGCTCACTGTGACCTCTGTCTCCCAGGTTCAAGCAATTCTCCTGCCTCAGCCTCCCAGGTAGCTGGGATTACAGGCGCCTGCTGCCACACCTGGCTAACTTTTTTGTATTTTTAGTAGAGACGGGGTTTCATCATGTTGGCCAGGCTGGTCTCGAACTCCTGACCTCAGGTGATCCACCTGCCTTGGCTTCCTAACGTGCTGGGATTACAGGAATGAGCCACTGCCCCCAGCCTATACTATATACTTCCGTTGTTTATCTGAAAATCAAATGTAACTGGATGTGATCGCATCTCACTGCAATCATGGCTCACTGCAGCCTCAATCTCCTGGGCTCAAGTGATCCTCCGGCTCCAGCCGGAGACCACAGATGCGTAGTGCCACACCCAGCTAATTTTCTTATTTTTTGTAGAGACGGGGTCTCGCCATGTTAGCCCAGCTGATCTCAAACTCCTGGGCTCAAATGATCCTCCCACCTCAGCCTCCCAAAGTGCTACGATTACAGGCATGAGCCACACACCCAGCCTAAACAATTTTTAATAAGGACCTCCACTCATACCTTACACATTAAAAAATTAACTCAAATATGCTGTCAAGAGAATCAAAAGACACAGACTGGGAAATGATATTTGCAAATGGCCACGTCCGGCAATGTTTTTTTTTCCATTTTAGTGTAGTAGGACGTCATTGATTTTCCTGATGGCTACTCATGTTTGACCACTTCGCATGTGCCTGTTAACTGTCAGTGTGCCCTCTTCTGGAACGTGCCTGTTAAAAATCTTTGCTTTTGTTAAAAATTGGGTTGTCTACGCCAGGCGCAGTGGCTCACTCCTGTAATCCCAGCACTTTGGGAGGCCGAGCCGGGCGGATCACCTGAGGTCAGGAGTTCAAGACCAGCTTGGCCAACATGGTGAAACCCCATCTGTACTAAAAATACAAAAAATTAGCTGGGTGTGGTGGTGCGTGCCTGTAATCCCAGCTGCTTGGCAGGCTGAGGAAGGAGAGTTGCTTGAACCCAGGAGGCAGAGGTTGCGGTGAGCAGAGATCACGTCATTGCACTCTGGCCTGGGCAACAGAGCAAGACTCTGTCTCAATAAATAAATATAAAAAAACAGAAACAAAAATTTTAAAAATTAGCAAATCATATATCCAGCAAATGGCTTGCATACAAAAAATATTAATAATTCTCAAAACTCAACATTAATGACATCACAAAAAGAAAATTCCAGATGAGTATCCTTTATGAATATAGATGCAAACGTTCTTGGCAAAATATGAGCAAACACAATCCCTTTTAAAGTGCTGCCCGTCAGAGAAGCAGCACTTTTTTTTTTTTTTTTTTTTTTTTGAGACGGTGTCTCGCTCTGTCACCCAGGCTGGAGTGCAGTGGTACAATCTCAGCCCACCACAACCTTCGCCTTCCGGGTTCAAGCAATTCTCCTGCCTCAGCCTCCCAAGTAACTGGGATTAGAGGTGTGCACCACCACACCCAGCTAATTTTTGTATTTTTAGTAGAGACAGGGTTTCATCATGTTGGCCAGGCTGGTCTCAAACTCCTGACCTCATGATCCGCCCACCTCGGCCTCCCAAAGTGCTGGGATTACAGGCATGAGCCATCGCGCCCGGCTGAAAAGCAGCATTTTTTAAAGGATTATGTACCATAACCCAGTGGGATTTATCCCAGGAATGCAAGGGTGAGTGAGCAGACGAAATTCAATGTCATACACCAGATTAACAGAATGAAGAAAAACCCACGCAATCATCTCAATTGATGCAGAAAAAAAATTTCATAAAATTCAAAATCCTTTCATGATAATAAGACTCAATAAACTAGGAGTAGAAACAACTTCATCAGGCCAGGCACGGTGACTCAGCCTGTAATCCCAGCACTTTGAAAGGCCAAGGAGGGTGGATCACTTGAGGTCAGGAGTTCAAGACCAGACTGCCCAACATGTTGAAACCCCACCTCCACTAAAAATACAAAAATTAAAATTAGCTGGGCATGGTGGTGCACGCCAGCTTCTCAGAAGACTGAGACACGAGAATTACGTGAATCCAGGAGGTGGAGGCTGCAGTGAGACGAGATCGCACCACTGCACTCCCCCCTGAACAACAGAGGGAGACTGTCTCAAAAAACAAACAAAAAACAAACACAGCTAACATCATACTCATTGGTGAGAAACTAAAAGCCTTTTAAAGAGACGAGGATACCCACTGCTGCTGCTTCTGTTCAACATTGTTCTGGATGTTCTAGCCAGAGCATTAATCAAGAAAAAGAAATTAAACGTATCCAAAACTGGAAAAGAAAACTATTTCTACTTGCAGATGACATGGTCTTATGTATAGAAGATCCTCCAAAAACAGGCCAGGCTCGGTGGCTCACACCTGTAATCCCAGCACTTTGGGAGGCCAAAGCGGGCGGATCATGAGGTCAGGAGATCGAGACCATCCTGGCTAACACAATGAAACCCCATCTCTACTAAAAATAGAAAAAATTAGCCGGGTGTGGCGGTGGGCACCTGTAGTCCCAGCTGCTCAGGAGGCTGAGGCAGGAGAATGGTGTGAACCCGGGAGGTGGACCTTGCAGTGAGCCAAAATCACACCACTGAGCGACAGAGCAAGACTCTATCTCAAAAAGAAAGAAAGAAACCCCGTCTCTACTAAAAATACAAACATTAGCTGGGTGTGGTGGCACGAGCCTATAGTTACAGCTACTTGGGAGTCTGAGGTGGGAGGGTCATTTAAGTCCAGGCGGTTGAGGCCGCAGAGAGCTGTGATTGAGCCAATGTACTCCAGGCTGCCCCAAAATAAAATAAATAATGAACATGAGTAAAGGAATTGAACAGACATTTCTTCAAAGAAGATACACAAATGGCCGGTGCAGTGGCTCATGCCTGTAATCCCAGCACTTTGGGATGCCAAGGCAGGCAGATCCCTTGAGTTCAGGAGTTCAAGAACAGTCTGGCCAACATGGTAAAACCCCATCTCCACCACAAATACAAAAATTAGCCGGGTGTGCTGGTGGGTGCCCATAATCCCAGCTACTTGGGAGGCGGAGGTGAGAGAATCACTTGAACCGGGGAGGCAAAGGTTGCAGTGAGCCAAGAACGCACCACTGCACTCCAGCCTGGGCAACAGTGCGAGACTCCATCTTAAAAAAAATATGGCCAGGCGCGGTGGGTCACGCTGTGTCAGCACTTTGGGACGGGCGGTGGCAGATCTCGCCGGCGCAGATCGAGACCTCTGCCTCACATGGGGTGAAATCCATCCACACAAACACACTCACCCTGCGCGCGCAGTGGCTCAAGCCTGTAATCCAGCACTTTGCGGAGGCGAGACGGGCGATCACGAGGTCAGGAAGATCATAGACCATTCCTGACTACCGGTGAAACCCGTCTCTACTAAAAAAAAAAAAACAAATGCAAAATCTAGCCTGGGCGAGGGTGCGGCCGCCTGTACGTTCCGTATTCGTGCGGCGAGGGCTGAGGCACCGCAATGGCTAACCCCCAGGAGGTGGAGCTTGAGTGACTGAGATCCAGCCACTGCACTCCAGACTGGGCGACAGAGCGAGACTCCGTCTCAAAAAAACAAAACAAAACAAAACAAAACACTTAGCCAGGCATGGTGGCATGTGCGTGTAATCCCAGCTACCCAGGAGGCTGAAGCAGGAGAATCACCTGAAACTGGGAGGCAGAGGTTGCAGTGAGCCGAGATCGCGCCACTGCACTCCAGTCTGGGTGACAGAGCAAGACTCCGTCTCCAAAACAAACAAACAAATAATATATATATACACACAAAAAAAAATGGCCACGAAGCACTTGAAAAGATGCTCAACCTCATTAGTCACTGGGGAAATGCAAATCAAAACCACAATAAGATACCATTCCATATCCATTAGGATGGCCATGATAATAAATAAATAAAAATAACAAGTGTTAAGGATGAGGAGAAATTCACTGCTATTGGGAATGTAAAACAGTCACTGTTAGAAAAAGTCCCGCTGTTCCTCAACAAGTTCCACACAGAGTTACCATATGACTCCGTGGATATGTTATATACCCAAAAGAAGTGAAAACAGGTGTTCAAAAAAGCTTGTATGTAAATGTTCACAGCAGCACTATTCACAATATACAAAAGACGCCGGGTATGGTGGCTCATGCCTATTCGAGACCAGCCTGGCCAATATGGTGAAACCCCATCTCTACTGAAAATACACAAACTCCCGGCCGAGCATGGTGGCTCACGCCTATAATCCCAGCACTTTGGGAGGCTGAGGCGGGTGGATCACCTGAGGCCCTGAGTTGGAGACCAACCTGGCCAACATGGTTAAACCCCGTCTCTACTAAAAATACAAAAATTAGCTAGGCGTGGCAGGTGCCTGTATTCAAAGAGAATAGCTTGAACCCAGGAGGCAGAGGTTGCAGTGAGCTGAGATCAGGTCAGTGCACTCCAGCCTGGGCGACAGAGTGAGATTCCATCTCAAAAATAAATAAATAAATAAATAAACAAATAAATAAATATTTTTAAAAATGCAAAAATTAGGGGGGTGTGGTGGTGCATGCCTGTAGTCCCAGCTACTTAGGAAGCTGAGGCAGGGGAATCAAACCGGGGAGGCGGAGATTGCAGTGAGCCGAGACTGTACACTGCACTCCAGCCTGGGCAACAGAGCAAGACTCCGTCTCAAACAAACAAACAAACACACACACACAATATATACAAGGTAGAAATAAACCAAGTGTCCTCAGCAGGTGCATGGATGAACCAAATGCAGTGTGATTTTGCCATTAAAATGAATGAAACTCTGGGGCCAAGCATGGTGGCTTATGCGTGTCATCCCAGCACTTTGGGAGGCCGAGGCGGGCGGATCACCTGAGGGCAAGAGTTTGAGACCAGCCTGACCAACATGGCGAAACCCCGCCTCTATGAAAAATACAAAATTAGCTGGGTGTGGTGACGCATGCCTATAATCCCAGCAACTCCAGAGGCCGAGGCAGGAGAATTGCTTGAACCCAGGAGGCGGAAGTTGCAGTGGGCCGAGATCGCGCCATTGCACTCCAGTCTGGGCAACAAGAGTGAAACTCCATCTCAAAAAAAATAAATAAAAATAAAGAAATAAATAAAAATAGTGACAGGGTCTTGCTATGTTTCCCAGGCTGGTCTCAAACTCCTGGCCTCAAACCATCCTCCTGCCTCATCCTCTCAAGTAGCCGAGACCACAGGCATGCATCACCATGCCCAGCTTTTATGATTTTATTTGTATGAAATACCCAGAATAGGCAGATCCACAGAGACAGAAAGCAAATTCACTGTTACTCAGAAGCTGAAGGGATTGGGGAAGGGGAAGTAAATGCTTTTTGGATTTGAGGTTTTCCATCTGGGGAGTGAAAAGTTCTGGAACTAAACAGTGGTGATGGTTGTACAATTCCATGACTGTTTACAATGGCTGAAATGGTAAGTTTCACGTTTTACGTATTTTCCTGCAATAAAAACAAAAACAAAAAACAAAAAACAAAAAAAACTCAGCAGTAGAGAACAATTTAAAAACAGGCAAGAGACGTGAAGATACATTTAACCCAGGACAACGTGCAAATGGAAACAAGCACCTGGAAAGAGGTTCCGAATCACCCACCACTGGGGAAATGCAACTAAAACCACAAGGAGGTGTTGCGGCAGAGAGAATGGCTGAAGGTTAAAAATAGCAACTGCTGCAACATTGACAGTGTGCAGAGAAAGTGAGGCCACCAGGTGCAGTGGCTCACGCCTGTAATTCCCAGTGCTTTGGAAGGCCGAGGCAGGTGGATCACTTGAGGTCAGGAGTTTGAGACCAGCCTGGGCAACCTCGTCTCTACTAAAAATATAAAAATTAGCCAGTCATGGTGGCAGGCGCCTGTAATCCCAGCTACTTGGAGGGCCGAGGCACGAGAATTGCTTGAAACCGGGAGGCAGAAGTTGCAGGTTGCAGTGAGCAGAGATGGCCCCACGCAACTCCAGCCTGGGTGACAGAATAAAACTCCATCTAAAAAAGAAAAGGAAGGAAGGAGGAAGGGAGGGAGGAGGGAGAGGAAGGAAGGAAGGAAGGAAGGAAGGAAGGAAGGAAGGAAGGAAGGAAGGAAGGACCCACGTGGCTGGCGGGGCTGTGATGCAAATGCTGGGGTAAATAGTGTGGCCGATTTAACAGATGGATACAGTGCATGGCTTGCAACCACAGCAGAACATCAAGGGCTTGACGGTCATTTCTCCGTCCTCTCCATGAGGTATAAATGGCTCACAGACACCCGAGAAGGTGCTGGTCATTAGGGAGACACAAATAAAAACCGCAGCCAGACAACACATTGCACCCACCAGCATCGTTAGTACACAACAAACAAAAAGCCAGAAAGTAGCAAGTGTCGGCGAGGACAAGGGCCGTGTCCCTGCTGTGCTGCTGGGGGACGTGTCGGTCTGAGACGCTGTTGTGGAAAACAGTTTGGCTGTTTTCCTCAGAAAAATTAACACATCATTACTCTGTCACCCAGCAAGTCCCTCATAACTATACACCCAGAATGCTTGAAAACGGGATTGGGAAGGGCCCTTTGCACACTCGCGTTCACAGCAGCGTTATTCGCCCTCGCCCCAAAGGGGAGGCAGCCCAGGTGTCCATGAAGAGGCCCACAGATGAACGGACGCGGTCGACGCGGTCCCTGCACACAACGGGACACGGTTCCCCCTAAAGGGAAGCAGATTCCCACACAGGCCAGGCTGCGGCGGCGAAGGCGGAGGACGCTGAGCTGAGAAACCAGCCGGTCTCCAAAGGACAAATCCCGCGAGGCTCCCCCTGCGCGCAGTCCCTGCAGGCGCTGAATCCACAGACAGAAAGTGGACGGGGCGCCAGGCTGGGGAGGGGAGGGGGCGTTTGATGGGGACAGAGCTTCATTTTGGGAGGACGGGAGCGTCTGAGAACGGATTTTGGGAGGATGGAGGGTCTGAGAACAGATGGTGCGGACGGATGCACGGAAATGTCAGCGAACCCAATGATCCTGAACCCTGCACTTCAAAGCGGATAAAATGGCAACACCGGCCCCCACAACAAAGTCACGCCGCTCAGGCCTTCCCGACGAACTCACCCCAGCCGGGTGCTCCAGGGGCCTCCGGAGCTCCTGCCGCCGCCCCTTCCCCGGGGTCCCCCAGTCCCCCCAAATCCTCCCCCAAGTCCCACGGCCCCTCCGTCCCCGCGCCCCGCAGGCTCCGAGGCTTCGCGGTGCGGTTCCCTCTGCGGGTCCCGGCCCGGGTCCCCTTCGCCCCCCAGGCCGGGACGTCCCCCTCCCCCAGCCGGCCGAGGGGCGCCAGCGCGGCGGAGGGGGCGGGAGGCCGGGCCGGGGCGACAGCTGGGGGGGCGGCCCTGACCTTCCCGGGATCGCTGGGCGCGGCCGGGCCGTCCCCCTTCCGGGCGCCGCCATAAAGGGGCCTCGCGGGGCTCTGGCCGTGGCCGCAGCGCTCAGCTCCCGCGCCCGACCCCGCCATGGCCCCCCGGCCCCTCCTGCTGCTGCTGCTGCTCCTCGGGGGCTCCGCCGCGCGCCCCGCGCCCCCCAGGTGAGCCGCCCGCCAGGCCCGTCCGCCCCCGGCCGCACCCGCCCCCCGCGCGGCCCTGACCCCGACCCCCGCCCGCCCCCAGGGCCCGGCGACACTCAGACGGGACGTTCACCAGCGAGCTCAGCCGCCTGCGGGAGGGCGCGCGGCTCCAGCGGCTGCTGCAGGGCCTGGTGGGGAAGCGCAGGTGAGGCCGGGTGGGGCGGGGGTCTTGCCGTGGTGCCCTGGCAGCAACGCGCGACCCCCAGCTCCAGGACTAACTCTGTTTTGGGGCGGGGGACAGCGAGCAGGACGCAGAGAACAGCACGGCCTGGTCCAGGCTCGGCGCGGGTCTGCTCTGCCCGTCCGGGTCCGATACGCCCACCCTGCAGGCCTGGTGAGCGCCCGCCCCACCGCAGACCCCACCCCAGACCCCACCCCAGACCCTTCCTTCTGTCCGTGGCCTCCCTGGGTCAGCGCTGGTGGCCACCGGAGGCCCAATTCCAGCGGCGGGGCCGGGGTCTCCAGCCCCAGCCCCAGCCCCCAACCCCGCACGTGCTGTCTCTGCAGGATGCCCCTGGGCGGGGCCTGGTCTCCCTGGCTGCCCCCTGGGCCCAGGCCTGGGGTTATGGTTTCAGAACCTGCCGGTGCTGCTGCAGAAGGGACCCTGCGACCGAGATGAGGAAGGAGCCCCCTCACCACCTGCCCAGCCGAGGAGCGGAGCTGCATTTGGGGTGGTGGGCAGGCTGGGGGAGAGGGGGAGGGGTGGAACTCGGCACCAATAAAGGAGAATCAGACCCAGACACTGGGAGTTGGTTGTGTCCACTTGGTGTAATCGAGGCAACCCCTGTGTAGCGGGGCTGTCAGATGGAAGGGGGCCCCATCCACCCAGCCGGGACTGTGACCACACCCAGCTGCCCTTTACACCTGGCGGCCACAGCTGGCCCCTCATCCTTATCTCTGGCATCAGTGCCGCCTCCTGTACATCGACTAAGCACCGCAGGGCCCCGCCCCCCCTTGTCTTCATTAGGAAACAGTCAAGGGCTCAGGGGGAGCCCGGACAGACTCTCAGCTCCTGCCCCGGGGCCCGTGTGGTCAGTGTTTCCGGAAGGGGCAGTGGGGAGGGTGTGGAGGGGCCAGGGAGGCTCAGGCGGGCAGGAAGAGGGGAGGGCAGAGGTGTCACCTGGGGTGCCAGGAGTCCACTCTGGCATGAGGACTCCGGACCCTCTGTCTTGTGTGGCCTCAGACCAGTGGCTTGACCCCTCAGAGCCTGTGGAGTATGGAGCGTGCAGGGCTTGCAGGCGACCGTGAGGGCACAGTGCAGGGTTGGGACACTGAGCCCAGCCCCAGCCACGAGAGGCCAGAAGCTTCGGTGCACAGGCCTGGAGAGGAATGACTCCACTCCCCGCCTCACGACAGCCCCTTCCTCACCCCGACCCCAGCCAGTGGCCTCTCCCTAGAGCTGGGGGCTTGCGGGGGCCAATGAAAAGAGCAGGGCAAGTGTCAAGACTCACCTCACCCCCTCTGTTGGGCACCAGGGCTCCCCAGGAGCTCCCAGCTGCCCCCCACAGCCCCGCCTTAGCCTTGGTTACTAAGGCCCTGTCCAGCCCCACCCTGAGAAGCTGGCTTGTCTCTGGGGCAGGCAGGCAGGGGTGTCCCTAGGACACAGTGAGGAGAGTCTCTTCCTTCAGAACCTGCCATCAGGCAGGCAGGGAGGTACTCCCGGCGAACATCCAGGTTCTGAGCCTCAAGGGTTGGCCTTAGGAATTTTGCCTGAGGTAGAGCTTAGGGGAGGAGCCAAGCAAGGGCAGCCTGGGCTAGGGAGGCAGGTTTCAGACACCCCAACACCAACGGCTTCTCTCCAACACCCTAGCTCTGCCCCTGCCCCGCCCCAGCCCCATGGCGCCCGTGAGCCGTTCTCTAGTCCTTTCTGCCCTGTGCCTCGGTGCCTGTGGCCTGAGCCCCCTGGTTAATCCCTGTGCTCAGTCTAACTTGGGCCAAAAGACTGCCCCCCTTCTGGCAGTGGGCCGGACCCGCCGGCCAGCAGGAGCCCCCTTGGCAGAGGCCGGTTGTAAAGGATCATAAAGTGGGCGGCGTCTGGCTGGGGCGAAGGTCGCTGAGGTAGGAACTGCGCCAGTCCTGGACGCCAAACCCACTCGGACCCTCCCGCCAGGTGACAGCCGCCAAGATGGGGTCTTGGGCCCTGCTGTGGCCTCCCCTGCTGCTCACGGGGCTGCTTGGCCGACCCCCGGGGGCCGTGGCCCAGGTCCAGTGTACGTGCGGGCAGGGGTAGGTAGGTGGGGGCACAGGGCGGGGGGAGCCAGGGGCTGGGAGGCGCTGACCCCTCCTCTGCAACCTTACAGACTGCTCTGTGAACAAGTCCTTCTTTGAAGTCGAGGAGAACACAAATGTCACCGAGCCGCTGGTGGACATCCATGTCCCAGAGGGCCAGGAGGTGACCCTCGGACCCTTGTCCACCCCCTTCGCATTTCGGATCCAGGGAAACCAGCTGTTTCTCAACGTGTCTCCTGATTACGAGGTGTGGGCGGCAGGTGGGTGGGGAGTGGGGGCTCCCAGGAGAAGGGCGCCTGGATCCTCAGGCCACACCTTCCCCGGGGGGCCCAGGAGTTCTATGCCTGCAGGCATCCACTAACACCCATGCTTGGTGGTGCCTGCCCTAGAAGGCTGGGCCATTTCGGGATGAAGGCTGGGCCCACACCCTCAGCACTGACCACTGATGATGGGGACCCTGGGCCAGCGCCTGCCCCCTTGGCCTCAGTCTCACCACCTGTGGGGCGGGACAGTGACTGCAGACCCGTCTGCCTCCACAGGAGAACTCACTACTTGAGGCTCAGCTGCTGTGTCAGAGCGGAGGCACGCTGGTGAGTCCCTGCCCCACTCTCCCCGCCCACCAGGCCACCTCAGCTGGGCTCTGCCCTGCCGGTCCAGGGCCAGTCTCTGATGACCTCACCTAGGGTGTGGTTTCACATGCCATCCCTCCGAGAGTGATGCTCACATTTCCTCCAGTCCAGACTCTGCCCTGAACTGTGGCGTCCCCGTCACTGATCCCTTGTCCAGCAGATACCCCCACCCAGTGTGCCCAAGACTCCCACCCACTCCCTCAACCACCACTGCCCCCACAAGGGAGGCACCTTTATCCTGCCAGCCACTGGAACCACTTTGGTTTCCACTCGCCCTCCCTCCCCACGTCCCCCGCTAAGCTCCCCATTGGTAAATCACTTGGCTCTGCCCCAGCTCGACCCAGAAATCCACCGTCTGCCCACCTCCAGTCCCACCAGGGCCGGGACACCAGCACTCATTTTGGGAAACTTTCAGCCGGCCCGCTGGCTTCCCCGTTGCCCCTTGCCGGTCCCAGTCCACTCCATGCGGCGGAGCAGCCTCTGTGGACGCTGTAAACCAAGGCTGCCCAGTCCACCCCAGCCCTCCACAGCTCCTTTCTCACTGAGAGTCAAACCCAGATGTACTGTGCGGAGGCTCTGCTGCAGCCTCAGAGCTCCTGCAGGCACGCTCCTCCCCCACCTGCTCAGGTCTGCAGTCTTCAGAGAAATCCCAACTGCCCTATTAGGGAATAGTTGCATCCCAGCCCCGCTCCCCCAACATCCTACTTCTTGACCAGCGGCATTTTTTTCGGCTTTATTAAGGAAAATTGCAGAATCCTGAGGCCAGCACAGGCCCCCGCCCCCCCCCCCACCTACCAGCAGACAGAGGGCTCTGTGCCCACCGCACACCACAGCACATCACCCACATATATCTTGGCATGTGTCTCTGAAAGAGAGGGATGCTTCTTTTTTTTGAGACAGAGTCTCGCTCTGTTACCTAGGTTGGAGTGCAATGGCGAGATCTCGGCTCACTACAACCTCCGCCTCCCGGGTTCAAGTGATTCTCCTGCCTCAGCGTCCACCCACCTCGGCCTCCCAAAGTGCTGGGATTAGGGAGGCACCTTTATCCTGCCAGCCACTGGAACCACTTTGGTTTCCACTCGCCCTCCCTCCCCACGTCCCCCGCTAAGCTCCCCATTGGTAAATCACTTGGCTCTGCCCCAGCTCGACCCAGAAATCCACCGTCTGCCCACCTCCAGTCCCACCAGGGCCGGGACACCAGCACTCATTTTGGGAAACTTTCAGCCGGCCCGCTGGCTTCCCCGTTGCCCCTTGCCGGTCCCAGTCCACTCCATGCGGCGGAGCAGCCTCTGTGGACGCTGTAAACCAAGGCTGCCCAGTCCACCCCAGCCCTCCACAGCTCCTTTCTCACTGAGAGTCAAACCCAGATGTACTGTGCGGAGGCTCTGCTGCAGCCTCAGAGCTCCTGCAGGCACGCTCCTCCCCCACCTGCTCAGGTCTGCAGTCTTCAGAGAAACAGGGCGGGGGGAGCCAGGGGCTGGGAGGCGCT